CAGGGGGCTGTTTTAAGTACAAGTAGCAATATTTTGGTTCTTCACACGAAAGAGCACAAATGAAATACTGTGTTTCCTCTAACAGAAAGTGTGCATGTCTTCATGCGATAATGAGTGAGTGAGTGAGTATGGTTTCAGGCCGCTTTTAGCAATATTCCAGCAATATCACGGCAGGAGACACTAGAAATGGGCTTCGAACATTGTACCCATGTGGGTAATCAAACCCTGGTCCTCGGCGTGACAAGCGAACGCTTCAACCATTAGGCTACCTCACCGCCCCTAGTGAGTGAGTGAGTGAGTGAGTTGGGTTTAGAGCTGCTTTGAACAGTATTCCAGTTATATCATGGTGTTGTAGCTGAATGTTTGTTGAAAGCCTGAAGCGACAAAACTCTTTGACGAAGCCCAGGAGTATGAGCATAATGCTGACAAATCTAACAACATGGTCAAACAGTAAGTGAGTGTGTTGGGTTTGACGCGCTTTTAGCAATATTCCAGCAATATCACGGCAAGGACACCAGAAATGGGCTTCACAAATTGTACCCATGTGGGAATCGAACCCGGGTCTTTGGCGTGACGAGCGAACACTTTAACCACTAGGTTACCCCACCGCCCTCATGGTTAAACAGGGTTTGAACCCAGAATCAGTTTTCTGGCATACCCAAGGGATATATCTCCAGATAGTGATGTGAATGACTGAGTTTTACACTGCTTTTAGCAATTTTCTAGCAAAATAACATCACTGGATACCAGAAATGGGCTTCACACATTGTAGACATGAGGGGAATTGAACCCTGGTCTTTGCTGTGACAAGCAAACGCCTAAACAACTGGGCTACCCCACTGATGATGTCAGAGGATTTATTACTGACTGATTGAGTTTGGTTTTACGCTGCTTTTTTAGCAATATTCCAGCAACATCACGGCGGGGGACACCAGAAATGGGCTTCACACATTGTGCCCATGTGGGGATTCGAACCCGGGTCTTCGGTGTGACGAGCCAACGCTTTAACCATTAGGCTACCCCAACGCCCCTGAGTTTATTAAAGCAAGTTGATGGTCATATATTATATATGGCTATAGAATGGGAGTAATACCCACAATAACCGAAACGTTCTATACATGTCGAGGCCCTGCATGTATTGAGATCTGGCCTCAATTGGAACTTTAGCATTTATTAAAGGAAATACAGCATATTGGTTGTGTAGCGCATTCACTGGGTGAGGAGGTGCAGGTCATACACCTTTAAGCAGTATTCCACCAATCTTACTATTTGGGACACAAAAGCATAGGTGATTGCACCCATGTGTGGGAATCAAACCCAGGCTTTAAGTGGGATGATCAAAAACTGCAACCACATAGCCACCAAAACTCCAAAACAAACAGGTCAAAACTTAGCAGAAATGTCTTTTGAAACGTAATATAACAAAAAACACATTTCCCAATCCAAAATAATACATGCATAATATACACAACGGATATGTATAATATAAGCACATCAGCATATATCTTTCACTCACAAGTATAAATATTATTGAAACAATGAACGAAACTTGTTTTTTGGTTCAAGGCAACACTCAGCAATATTCCAGCCATATGACAGCAACGTGTAAATAATCAAGCCTGGACCTGACAATCCAGTGATCGATATTGGAACAATCGATACCATATGGTACAAAGCCATGCAATCATTCAAATCTGTGAGTGATACAATATTAAGGCACATAAATGTCTAAAATGGTCAAAATCTGTCACCTGATCCATTCAGTTGTCTTGTAGTGAGTGAGTATGGTTTTACGCCGCTTTTAGCAATATTCCAGCAATATCACGGCCGGGACACCAGAAATGGGCTTCACACATTGTACCCATATGGGGATTCAAACCCGGGTCTTCGGCGTGACGAGCGGACGAATTAACCACTAGGCTACCCCGCCGCCCCCCAGTTGTCTTTTAAGACCAGCACAGGTTGGGGAACCTAGTTGAACATAGAATCCCCAGGAAGAACAGGAGGGAATCAATTCTTACCTGGAATGGCTACAACACTACTATTATGTCTGATCAAGCACATGAACACTACAAAAATTTGTCCTTATACTCTCTTGACAGCCGTTCTTTCAAGCTATGATTGAGTGATTGAGTTTATTTTTACACCGCACTCAGCAATCTTCCAGCTATATGGCAGCAATCTGTAAATAATCGAGTCTGGGCCAGACAATTCAGTGATCAACAGAATGAGCATTGATCTACTCTATTGGGATGCGATGACGTGTCAACCAAGTCAGCGAGCCTGACCACCCGATCCTGTTAGTCGCCTCTTACGACAAGCATTGGTTCCTGAAGATCAATTCTAACCCGGATCTTCACGGGTGCTATGAAACATTCAGCAGCATCCAGTTGACATGTTGTAAATATATAGTAAAATATCTGATCAGTGTAAACAATGAGTACACAATGAGACAAGGTCCCTGCTCACAATGGGATCTTAGCGCTACAGGAAGACCCGTTTCAGGAAAATCTTGTACAGGTAAGATACCGAAACTTTGCATTAGGGTAAGATTTTCTCACAAAACTCTAAGATTTATAAAGGAGAAAGTTTTGCGAAAGTTTTACCTCATATCTCCATTAAAATATTGTAATTTTGAAGTTTCTTTTTTTCATCATCATAATTATGAGAGTGATAAAGTACACTGAATGAAATGATCGTAGGACTCTGGTAAATAAATCTGAGGGGTTATGGGCCTTAAATTTACAAGACTTTCATTAAACGGGCCCCTGGAGTGATGGTTGTAGCACTGAGATTTTGCTTTGGGAAATGAGGCTAAGGTGATCATTTGACAAAAGTCAACACTGTTTGAAATGTATGTTCGCAAAGGGTCCCATAGTGTATGTTTCTCAGGGAGCTGAGAAAGACAAAATGGATGGAAATTGATATCGGAAACACCTGCCTGTGCTTTCTATGGCACAGAATTCTCTTTCTATGATGACATACTCAAAATAGTACAGGGTAATATTCATTGGTGCAAAACTACCAACATGGACACACAATACCCTCAATCAGAGGATCTCAGAATTTGGTGTTATCGTTACTTCTTGAAGGATACAATATTAAGGCACATAAGTGTCGAAAACAGTCAAAAACGTTTTAATACATATGAATAATTACTATGACAACATTTGGTTTGCAACAACTGTGAATACCAGGATAATTTGAGTTACCACGGTAACATATAATGCAGAGTTAAGAACCAATAAGCATGAACAACATATCCAACCGTGACAATGTTGAAATATATGGTCGAGTGTTGTCTGTCCCAAATATCTTTAAATACTTATAATTTTGCAAATAATAGGAAAACTAAATATTCCTAAACAGACTTGATAGACGGATCATCTACAGCATATTCATAATCTTTGGTAAAGAAAAGATGGAAGAATGTATTTTACAAATATTATTTGGCATCGTGCATATATTTGGATGGAAACATCCACAAATATACAAGGTCCACATACCCTTCAGTGCTTTGGGCAGACAATGAAAGACACAGTGAAACCACAAATTTGTGTGATTAGCAGATCCTGGCACAGCCAAGGGATGTAACTCTGCAAGTCAGATCAAGCAAATGCAGATAGATGTCATCTGTACATATATCAACAGATTAAGTATTGTCATGAATAAAACAAGCCTCTGGTCCAGCCTTAGCGTTCATTGAGTCATTACGAAATCTTTCAAGCTTATCGAAAAAGTTCTCCTTTCTTCTTTTGGCAAGAGGTCTTTCCAGTACGCTGGTCCTACTCTGTGGAATTCTCTCCCTCTCCACATAAAGCAGTCATGCACATTGGAAACTTTCAAAATTAAGTTGAAGACTTTCTTTTTTTCCAAAGCCTATCCCTAAAATCAATCTTTCTGTCATCAATTTCAATGTATATTTATTTTGCTATTTTATCCTCTGTATGCATTGTATGTATGCTTTTATGTAGCGCCTTGAGCATGTATCAGTGGGTGGAAAATGGCGCGCTAAAAATATCCATTATTATTATTATTATTATTAAACCTATCAACTCTTGTGCAAATTGCATATTACATTGGAGTACATCAATGAGAATAATTATTGAAGCTTATAGATTGATTCAACTTCTTTGACAGTGATGGATGGTTCTTCAAAATGTGTTACGCACAGTTTGCAATTTTGAATGTGATTTTTAGAGAAATGTGCCTGCAAAAATACATAAAAAAAGATGATATTTATTTCTGACAAAATCCCTGTATAAGCATATTTTTATTATAATGGATATTTGTATAGCCCACACACCAGTGCATGCTCAGGGTTGTGTACTGTATACTAGGGGTTGTGACAACACTGACAGAGTCTGCACACAAAGTTGATTCCAAGGTTTTAACACCCGGTCACAGGTGGGCTCGATCCCGGCACACCTCAACCTCGCTGGATCACTAGCCTGGCGCCTTAGCCAGCTCTCCCACCATGCCCCCCCATACACATACAACAGAGGGTTACTATCCTTTATGTAACATGCAAGAAAGGTTCTTCTTCAAGAATGATGGAGCTAGTACAGATATACAAAATGGTCCTTGGCCTATGTTGATTGTTTTAAGTGCCATTCCATTTTTTAAAGATTCTCTACTACTTGAAGACATACAAAAGATAGATGACTTTATGTCCAAGGCTGGTAGAAGCTCCCTATACCAGACAAAAGTAAAAACATGTTCCACAGCCCATGTCTGGTTTAGGGCCCTGTTCGACAAGATCTGAGTGCGATGATGACCATAAACCTATGGTAATTTATGGTTGCTAATGCTGAGACTTTGAAAATATATAGTTTTCATAGAAGTATTCCATGTATATTGAAAAGGTACCTCATTGAGCTGGGAGTTTGAATCTGAATAGAATCTGAGACTTGCTTCATTTTGAGTTTCAGAGTGTAAGTGAGTGTGTGAGTTTAGTTTTACGCTGCTTTTTGCAATATTCCAGCAATATCACGGCAGGGGACACCAGAAATGGGCTTCACACATTGTACCCATGTGGGGAATTGAACCCAGGTCTTCGGCATGATGAGCGAATGCTTTAACCACTAGGCTACCCCACCACCCTGGACTGACAGGCAGGGAAAATGATGTGCTCAGGGGTGAGTGAGTGAGTTGGGTTGTATGCTGCTTTTAGCAATATTCCAGCAATATCATGGTGGGGGACACCAGAAATGGGCTTCACTCATCGTACCCATGTGGGGAACCGAACTGGGGCCTTCAGTGTGACGAGCGAATGCTTTAACCACTAAGCTATCCCATGACTCTGAGACAGGATAAGTGTGGAGTTAGAACCATGAGATCGTTTTGTGGATCGGGGGCCCTGGTCTAGATGTTGAAAGTTCTACCATGAGTCAGGTTACATTAGTGTCTGAGTTAAACCTTTAACTGCCATTAGTGTCCGAGTTAACCCTTTAATTGCCATTAGTGTCCGAGTTAAACCTTTAACTGCCATTAGTGTCCGAGTTAAACCTTTAACTGCCCTTAGTGTCCGAGTTAAACCTTTAACTGCCCTTAGTGTCCGAGTTGACCCTTTAACTGCCTGACTGATAGTCATCACAAGGGAAATGGGGTTTGACTGTAATCCAACTTGTTACATCTGCCGATTGTGCTTACTCCAAGAGTTGTCTGCCCATAGGATCATGCACAGCACTGTAGGTTGAGTACAGACTGTAATGGTTATATCTGCATGCATACAGTCATAACACATACATGTGAAGTAACTACATTGGGGCTTGGGGAGATTCGCCAAGGAAATAATTCTGACACCTGTTGTTCAAGGCTGTTTCATAAACAGATTTTCTATAATGCTGCAACTGTGGACACAGAAAGTGAAGTGAGCACAGAATGGAAATCTGGTACATCATTCTGAAATTTAATGTCGGTTCATGATCTCTCAGAGTATCTTCATCCTCTGACGTGTTCACAAAATTGCACAATACGATAACCATGAACTTTTTTCCTCTTCTTTCTTGAATGATAGATCATCACTTGCGCCACCATTCTCATCGTCATCCATACCAGGGTCAAGGTCGCTATCACTGAGGTCAGAATCTGACTCCACATCAGAGTCACGTCCTGGGCGATTTAATCGGGAAATAAAATGCACATAGTTCTCTTCTTCTTCCTCCTCCTCTTCCTGAGATGGACTGGAACAGAAGACCAGATCATTTCATGTATGTCTTTATAGGTCAAACAACAACATATTCCACCAGTGCCTTGGCACTATTCAAAACACAAAATGTTGGGAAATTGTCTGATTTTTCCTGGTATGGACATTTCTGAACAAAGGCTGGACTCTTTCATGTATATCTGAATTGACACTCTTGAGCTACTGACATATCTGAACAAAGGTGTCTTGTCCTTCATGTTCTCCTGCAGAAAATGGGTACCCGGTGGGATAAATCATATGATTATTAACTTTCTAGAGCCTCACAGGCAGCCTCAAAAGAGACAGCGATGTGTATATCTTTGAACAAACACTCCTTGCCCACACACCAAGATAGCAGAATGACTGACAGACTGAGTTTGGTTTTACGCCGCTTTTAGCAATATTCCAGCAATATCACGGCGGGGGACACCAGAAATGGGCTTCACTCATTGTACCCATGTGGGGATTCGAACCGGGTCTTCGGCGAGACGAGCCAACGCTTTAACCACTAGACTACCCCACCGCCCCATAACAGAATGATACCTCTCTTAGTCACTCTGTTTGTTAGAAGTTATAAATACCTGCATACACGTGACAGGAAGTGTAATAAGGCAGTTTATAGGAATTTCTAAAAGTGCCAAGCTTTGCTTTGGTCATTATCAGACATTCACTGTGAGGTATTTTTTTTATTGTTTTAACTCCTGCAGCACAAATTGAAAAGCACCTGCTATGCTTATTGTGATACGGTCAATGTGCTGTTTATGACTTTGAAGCGACAGACAGGCACATAGTGTGCTAATGTCATCACAATAAATGTCTTATTGTAGTCGAACAATGGAGAGTTTGCACTTGTTACAACATCACAATGGATAAGTCAGCTGAGCAAGACAAAGGAATGGTTTGTTCCCGGGCTTTCAAATGTGTCAAGGTCCTCATCCCAACCTTGACCTGCTCCCGTCTTCATAACATATCACAATTTGTCTGGACAGATCACTCACAGACAATTGCAATTAACTGAGATTAACAATGGATTGGAAGGAGGTGAAACCCAAGATGTTTTAAAATACTAATTTGTTCATTTAAATTTTTTGCATCAGGCATGTCAAGTTTTATAAAAGGCAGTGACCGAAAAAATTAATCAAACACAAATACCAGCCCTGACCAGAATATAAGTATATTCAGGCAGTAGCTTATGCATAACTAATAGGGAGCGTTGTCATTCCTATACTGCTCAAAGAAGTTAAAGTGAGTGAGTGAGTTTAGTTTTACGCCACACTCAGCAATATTCCAGATATATGGTGGCATTCTGTACATAATCGAATATGGACCAGACAATCCTGTGATCAACATTATAAGCATCGATCTACGCAATTGGGAACCGATGACATGTGTCAACCAAGTCAGTTTCAGTTCTCAACAACAAATATGTGAAATCAGCTGAAAGCAATGCCGACCGATATATCATGCTGCTACACGTCTAACAACACCATCAGGAACCACGTCCGCAGGTAACCATGCAGAAAATAGCACACACAGCTGGAACATCAGGAAGTAAGTTATTCATGACATCAATCAATCCTAAATACATGTGCAATTTATGTTACCAGGACAGATGTCAAGGACAGAGTGTGTGAGTGACTGAGTTAGAGTGAGTGGGATGTGAGTGAGTGGAATGGTGAGTAAGTGAGTGAGTGAGTGAGGAAGTAGGATGGTGAGTGAGTGAACGAGTGTGTGAGAGGGGTGGTGAGTGAGTAAGCGAGTGTGTGAGTGGGATGGTGAGTGAAAGAGTGGGATGGTGAGTGAGTGAGTGTGTGAGTGGGATGGTGAGTGAGTGAGCAGGTGAGTGGGATGGTGAGTGAGGAATGGGTGAGTGGGATCGTGAGTGAGTGAGCAAGTGTGTGAGTGGGATGGTGAGTGAGTGAGTGAGAGGGATGGTGAGAAAGTGTGTGAGTGGGATGGTGAGTGAGTGAGCGAGTGTGTGAGTGGGATGGTGAGTGAGTGGGTAGTGGGATGGTGAGTGAGTGAGCGAGTGTGTGAGTTGGATGGTGAGTGAGTGAGTGGGATGGTGAGTGAGTGAGTGTGTGAGTTGGATGGTGAGTGAGTGTGTGAGTGGGATGGTGAGTGAGTGTGTAAGTGGGATGGTGAGTGAGTGAGTGAGTGAGTGTGTGAGTGGGATGGTGAGTGAGTTAGTGGAATGGTGAGTGAGTGAGTGAGGAAGTGGAATGGTGAGTTAGTGAGCGAGTGTGTGTGGGAGTGGGATGGTGAGGTGAGGTGAAATTGGGTTTAACGTCGTGCTTGAGAATATTTCGCTCATATGACGACGTGCATGCGTGTGTATGTGTATGTGCGGCTGCTTGTACTAGCCCAGACTGAAGCTGGTTTTATAGTGCTAGCCCACTGAGATACCATGCCGCAGTGAAGCATGAATACCCCTCAGACACATTATACTGACTCCGAGCCGACCAGTCCTTGTTGTACCCATTAATGCCGATCGCCACCAGGCAAGGACCAACAAGTACCATATTTTAACGTCTTTTGGTATGACGCGGTCGGGGATGAGTGGGATGATGAGTGAGTGAGTAAGTGGGACAATGAGTGAGTGAGTGAGAGCCAGCTGGTTCAGTATAAAGCCACTCAAACAGTATTCTAGTTATATTACAGCATGGCAGCTTGATGTTGGAGGGAAGACTGACTGAGTTTTAGTTTTACGCCACTTTTAGCAATATTCCAGCAATATCACAGCGGTTGGAGGGAAGAAGAATAGCTGATTAACAAGTCTTCCAGTGATAACACCATGTTGCAGTCTCAAAATATCAGGTACCGGATGTGGGGAAACAAACCCAGACCCCAGGATGTAACTGTCGGAAAATAACATGGGTCTTTGATGGGAGTAGAAATACCTCAACCTCTAATTTTGTGATATCTACCTGTGATATTTTTTAGTTTGTTATCCACAATCAACAATATTCCAGCTGCACAATGGTGGTTTGTAAATGATCAAGTCTGGACCAGACAATCCAGTGATTGAAAGTGATCTGTGCAATTGAGACATGATGACACGCATCAACCAAGCCAGTGAGCCGGACCACCTGATCCTGTTGAGCACCTTTCACAACAAGCATGGGTTGGTGAAGACTTCATCTTCTTACGTGGATCTTCTCTGGTGACCACCAGACTACTGGCTTCACCAATTGCAGGTAGATAAACCTTGGTCCTTGGTGGAGGGAGCAAACGCTTAAACATTGACCTCACTGCCAAATGCAGCACAAAAGGTCAGAACATAAACCTTGGTCCTTGGTGGAGGGAGCAAACGTTTAAACATTGACCTCACTGCCAAATGCAGCACAAAAGGTCAGAACATAAACCTTGGTCCTTGGTGGAGGGAGCAAACGTTTAAACATTGACCTCACTGCCAAATGCAGCACAAAAGGTCAGAACATAAACCTTGGTCCTTGGTGGAGGGAGCAAATGTTTAAACATTGACCTCACTGCCAAATGCAGCACAAAAGGTCAGAACATAAACCTTGGTCCTAGGCATGAAGAACTTATGCTCAATCCACAAGGCTGCAGACAGTTTTGTTTGTTTGTTGTTGAATGCCACTCTCAGCAATATTCCAGCTATACAGCAGCATTGTCGATGATTGAGTCTGGACCAGATATCCATTGATCGACATCCTGATCATCAATCTACGCAATTGGGATACGATGACATGTGTCAACCAAGTCAGTGAGCCTGACCACCGGATCACGTTAGTCGCCTCTACAAGCATGGGTTACTGAAGATCAATTCTAACTAATGGTGTGACGATTCACCGATATGCATCGATGTATCGATCCTTTGGCCACCGATACAGTGAATCGATACAAAGGTTTATACCGATACGATACTTCAAATGGGCCACGATACATCAATGTTTTACTTTGAATATTGCCTTATTGCGATATCTGTCAAGAAAAAAAGACTTACTTTTGTTTGATGATTAAAATATATACTTATATAAGTAAATGTTTTCTTGGAAATTCTTGCATCAAGAACTGTGTCAGACATATCGCTGGCATGTTATTAACATTCACAAAGACCGTGTATAAACTTAATTATCTCATTTCCGAATGAACATTGAAAAACGCTGGCCGAATTTGACGAAATACTATAAAATGGTTTTGTTTTGATCTTAAGGTGTTTTATAGTTGGTGTTAGAATTAAAGATTTTGGTATTGTGATATGCATCGTATCGCCACCCTTGTATCAGGATTTGTATCGTATTGCAGCTTCAGTGCACAATACTTTGGCAATATATCGTCGTGACTAAAAGTTTAGTGTCGTGATGTATCGTATCGCAGGTTGTATGCCAATACCAGCACTAATTCTAACCCGGATCTTCACAGGTGCTGCGGACAGCTCTCACACAGTATATACACACAATACACACAAAATACACAACACAAAACCATGCATCAGATTAACTACCATCACAATCACAGAGGTACAACATCGACAATCTCAATTCCTACACTTCTTCATCAACCACACAGGCTACTTAACTGGTCTATGCATCTACAGTTAAATTAACATAACGGAGAATTGTGAATAGATTACAACAAAAATATCTGTGGAAAGTGGTTTTTGGTGTGTTAAAGTGACATTTTGCATTCAACTGGTATCAGTGTAGGGTGGCAACAAACTACTTTCCTTTTCTCAATTTAAAGGTGTGATAAAAATATTTATGATCCAAACTATAAACTTGGCCTGATCCAGTAAACAGAACACAAGTGTACTGTATAAAAGTAAAGCACAACTTATAAATCCAAATGTAATAATCACTTTTAAATGATTCATATCCTGAATTCATGTTTCGAGAAAATATATTTGCTTCTTATGCAAGTTTTCAGAGGGTGCTGGAAAAGTTCAACCATTATACCAGTGACAGTATGTACAAAAAAAGTCAATAACAGTTTGGGGATATATCAGAAAATAAAAGGTTCCTAACATTTTTTAAT